CATTGATGATTGTAATTATTTGAAAAGGACCAAGAAAAAGAGAGCTCAATTTCTTTGAAGGACGGTTTGTGGTAATATTTTTTGAAGAGAGCCAGACAAGATCCCCTACTTTGTAAGGAGGGGGAATTCTTCTTTTATTGTCAAAAAACTTTTTCTGGTAGTTTTGGGCGAGTTGAAGATTCTCCCGTAATTTGAGGAATAGAGAGGACATAAATTCATTTTTTGATGTAACCGTAGGATTGGATGAAGTAATAGTTTGGATGGGAAATGAGGACGGATGAAAACCATAGTTGGAGAAGAAAGGAGTCATTTTCGTACTAGAATGAATGGTATTATAAGAAAATTCAGCCATAGGTAACCATGTGGTCCAGTCATCTTGCAGGTATGAACAATAACATCGGAGATATTGTTCCAAACATTGATTAACTCTCTCTGTTTGCCCATTAGTTTGGGGATGATAGGCGGAAGAGAGTTTGCATTGAATTTGAAGAGAGAGACACATCTCTTTCCAGAATTTGGAGGTAAATTGTGTCCCCCTATCGGAAATAATTTCCTCTGGAAGACCATGGAGTTTTACAATATTATCAATAAAGACTTTGGACAATTCTACGGAGGAGGGTAATTTTTTTAAAGAGATAAAATGGGACATTTTTGTGAAGCGGTCCACAACAACAAGAATAGTGGTGAAATGTCGAGAAGGTGGAAGGTCAACGAGAAAATCCATAGAAATGGATTGCCAAGGTTTTTCTGGAATAGGTAAGTTAAGTAGTAATCCAAAAGGTTGATTATGTTCAGATTTGGACCTTTGACAGATAGGACAAGTTTTGACATATAATTCAATGGTTCTATCTTGGCGAGGCCACCAATAATATCGTGAAGTTAGTTCAAAAGTTTTCTTTATTCCAGGATGTCCAGCTAGGGGTGAATCATGAACCATCTTAAGTAATTTGTTCCTAAGAATGGGAGGAATATAAATTCTATTTTTAAAGTAAAATGTACCATCCTTTTTTGTCAATTTAGATGTTTTGGGAAGATCCTTCTGATTCAAATTCTTTATGTCATCATGAAGAGAAGAGAGGATCCCTATTATTTTATTAGGAGGATAAACATCAATAGTAGTTTTAGAAGGAATTCGAGAAAGAGCGTCATCCTTTTTATTTCTAGTTCCAGGTCTGTATATTAATTGGAAGTTAAATCAGTTAAAAAATAGGTTCCATCTAACTTGTCTAGCCGTAAGGGTTTTGTTAGTATAGAGATATTCAAGATTTTTATGGTCTGTATAAACTATTATAGGTTGTTTTGTATCTTCTAGAAGATGACGCCAATTTTCGAAGGCAGCTTTAACACTTAATAATTCTTTTTCACCAATAGGATAATTTTTTTCAGTAGAGCTCAAGGATCTTGAAAAGAAGGCAACTGGATGAAGTGGATCTTGAGGAGTCTTTTGTTGAGAAAGAACTGCTCCGATAGCTGTATCTGATGCATCAACTTCAAGGACATACAAGAATGTTGGATTAGGTAGTTGTAGAATAGGTGCAGTTGTAAATCTTTTTTTTAATCTGTCGAAGGCAGCTTGTGCATCTTTATTCCACTTGAAAGGACGTTTATTACTGTTAAGGAGGTTAAGTGGATGTGATACCTCTGAATAGTTCCTAATAAATTTTCTATAGAGGTTTGCAAATCCCAGAAATCGTTGCAATTCTTTTGTAGTAGTAGGAACGGGCCAGTTAATAATACATTCGATTTTGGAGTTATCCATTTTCAGAGAATGAGGTGAAATAATATATCCAAGAAAGGAGAGTTCAGTAACTTCAAAAAGACATTTCTCTGGTTTAGCGTATAATTTGTGAGTTCTCAGTCTAGATAGAACCCATCTTACATGCTTCCTATGTTCATCCAAATTGTTAGAATATATTAAGATATCATCTAAATAGATAATAACACAGACATCCAAAAGATCTCTAAAGATATCATTTATAAAATGTTGAAATGTTGCAGGGGCATTACAAAGCCCAAAAGGCATCACTAGATATTCGTAGAGACCATATCTTGTCCGGAAGGCGGTCTTCCATTCATCATCCTGTTTTATTCTAATGAGGTTATATGCGCCTCGGAGGTCGAGTTTAGTGAATATAGTTGCGGTCCTTAACCTTTCAATTAATTCATTTATTAGTGGAAGAGGATAACGATTTTTTATGGTTATTTTATTTAAGGCTCTGTAATCTATAATGGGACGGACGGTTTGGTCCTTATTCCTCACAAAAAATATACTAGAGGCAGCCGGGGAAGTCGAGGGTCTGATGAATCTTTACGTAAATTTTCATTGAGATATTCTTTTAAGGTCAGCAATTCTTTTTCAGAAAGTGGATAAATGTGACCATAAGGAATAGGAGCACCGGGTATTAGATCTATTGGGCAATCATATACTCGATGAGGTGGAAGTGTTTCCGCTTCTTTTTTACAAAAGACATCTGCAAAATCGGAGTAGAATGGAGGTATAACTGATTATTGAGTAGTTTGGAGAATAGGAATATGTTGTAAGCAGGTTTTTTTACAAAAATCAGAAGAAAAAGAAATGGAGAAGGGTGACCATTTAATTAGAGGATCATGGGTTTTTAACCAATTAATTCCTAGAATGACGGGATAAAGTGGAGATTTAATAACATCAAATGTAAGGAATTCGGTATGTACGTTGTTGGTAATCGTTCTTAGAGGAATGGTCTCATCTTTTATGGGTCCTGAGGATATAAATGAACCATCAATAACTCTGATTGGAACAAAGTTAGTTTTTCGAACACAAGGAATTTTATTCTTTGTAACAAAAGAAAAATCAAGGAAGGTTCCATTAGCACCAGAATCAATAATGGCTTCAGTCACGATTCTTTTTGTATCCCACTGTAATATGAGAGATATAGAAAAATAAGTAGATGTTTTTCTTTTTTGAAGAACGTTCAATATAGAAGTAGATGAATGAAGCTTACCAGCTTTTGAATGTTTAAGTAGAGGACATTCTGGAATTAGATGTTCTTTTGAAGCACAATACATACACAGGTTTAGTTGTCTCCTTCTTATTCTTTCTTCAGAAGTAAGAGGACTTCTTATTATACCAACTTCCATAGGTTCACCTTGAGGAAGAAATTTTTCAGGAATTTTTGGAGAAGTAAAATGTTTTCTCCAGTTAGAATTAGTAAGAACTTTTTCAGCCCTTCTTTCTCTTAGACGTCTGTCAATACTAATGGAAAGTTGAATCAATGCATTTAAGGTGGGAGGAAGTTCAGTACGAGAGAGTTCATCTTTCACAGCTTCTGATAATCCGAGACGGAATTGATTGCGTAGAGTGATGTCATTCCATTGGGTTTCTGTAGCCCATCTTTTAAATTCTGCAATATAATCTTCAACAGGTCTGTTCTTTTGGTGGAGAGTTCTGATGTTTAAATCAGCAGTAGCCTGTTTATAAGGATCTTCATATAATAAAGACATAGCTTCAAATAAATCATCCAATGAATCTAATATGGGATCATCATTCTTTAAAAAGGAATGAGCCCATGCCATAGGTTCACCTCTTAAAAAAGAAATTACTGAACAAACTTTTGATCTTTCAGTGAGATAAGATCTAGGTTTTAAAGCTATCAGAAGTTTGCAAGAATTCAAAAACTCTCTGTACTTTGTTCTGTCTCCATAAAATTTTTCTGGATTACAGACAGCAGGATCACCAGCCGATTGAAGAGCGGCATGAGGAAGATGGCCTTGCATGTCTCTAACATAGGTTAATATTCTCTCATTTGTAATTTGCAGTTCCTGTAACCCTTGAGCAATCGTATCTACTCTATTGGTTAGGGCAGAAACTTGAGAGTTAATATCTGCTGGTTCCATTGATAAGGCTGGATTATTCTGTGATACTTATTTTGTAATACTTCTTTAATTGGAACTCAACTGCAGGAACAATAAGTTTCACCTCCTTTTATATTGAAGTGAACAAGGTTGGCTGTATCTTTAAATACACATGCAGGAAGAAATGCAATGCTAGTTCCAACTTGATTAAGATGGAATAATTTAGGAGAAATTTAATAATGAAGCACGACAGGCTTGCAATTTGAATAAATTGAAATTTGCAGGAAGAATTAGACTTATTAGCAATCCCTTATTGACAAGTGAGAATTTTAGTGAAATTTAAATACTGTGTAAATTAATTATGAATGCTAGAGTATACCTGACAGTGAGGCACCGTTTTTCCAAACTAAAGAGATTTAAATTTTTTAACCTTTCTTCGTAACTAAGTGTCTGTTTGAGTGACTGCATCTAAAGGTGTTACTAGGCAGCAATATACACTACATTTTTTCTGCTATAGACACCAGAGCCACTAAATTAGTACAGCATGCTGTGGTGGTCAGTGTCAGAAGTACCATTTCCCCCCTCTCACTGATTGTAAGTAGTTTTAGAACAGTTTCACATCTTACCTGGAGTACTACAGGGGCCCCTCATCACCTACACTACAGCTGTCAGAGAACTGTAAGCTCCTCCTTCAGAGTTTCTGGTACCATTCCCAGAGATAATTAGCGGAAAATATTAGCTGATCGCCGTTAGCCCTTATGTGCTATGCCCTGCACCTCTTTCTGAAGGCTGTAGTGGAGGAGAGGAGCAGGGCTCAATAGACTCCAGATAAGACTGAGCAAATGGTTGGACTTACATTTTTTGGTGTCTTTGGCACTCAAGCATGTTTTACTAGTTATGGTGCTTGAAGGGTTCCTTTAATATTATTCAGGAATGATTTTGATCCCATACACCCTGCACTATACACACAGCAGTTTTTAAGTACCCCATAGTTCTTATGAAATTCTTTTCTTAGGGGGTTTTTTTTTTGGAAGCAGATTTCACCACAACGCTTGAGATTCTTTTAATATATCTTTTTTTCCAGTGTTTTTTTTCTTTTTAATTTACATACAGATATACAAATTATCAAGTTTTTATACATAGAATATAAAATATACCATTAGATCCACATTTATACATCTTAATCATACGGGCGAAAAAAAGCCCTAACGGTTGAAAGAAAACTTCCCCTGACTGAGCCCTCTCCATCTTATAAGCTTTCTAATCTTTAAGCACATCTTTAACCTCATTCAAACTTCTTCCCTCTCATACACTCATTTGGGCGACGTTGTGCGGATGTTATGGGGGTTACGGCACTTAGTCACTAGATAATACAAAACGCAAGGGGCCCAAATGTCTTCATATTTCTCCTTCCTATCTGAAATGAGCCCTGCTTTCATTCTATACTGGAAATTTAATTGTGAACTAATCTCTGTCCATTTTAAAAGGCCTATATTCCTTCAGTTCATAGCCATTACTATTTTAATAGCCATAAAGACATGGATCAAAATAATTTTAGTTTTAATGTTTTCTGTAGGCAAGTCGATATGGAACATCTGTGCTGATAAATTAATTTTCCTTTTAAATATAAGATTTATCAACCTTGATAGAGTCTCTTTTAAAAGATTAATCTTTTCACATTCCCACCATATACACCCTGTTCCAAATTATTATGCAAATGATATTTTTCTCATTTACCTAAATAATTGATGTAAATAACAGTCAGCATAATTCTCATGTTATCAACAATTAAGAGTACTATTCAAATTTTATTGAACAAACCTCCAAATGATAACAGTATTTTTTTAAACATAAAAAACTTACAATGCACTGTTCCAAATTATTACGCACAGTAAGTTTCAAAACACTTTATAGGTTGTAAAGAACTGAAAATTGTCATTTGTTGTGTTTGCAGCATATTTACTGAAATCAAAAGCTATTTCAATCAACTTATAACAACATTTTAGCGTTTTAAACATTTTAAAAGGTCACGTTACATTTTAACATAGGACCCCTTATCTGATAGCAGCTTCACAAGTCTTGCATCCATTGAACTAGTGAGTTTTTGGACAGTTTCTGCTTGAATTTGTTTGCAAGATGTCAGAATAGCCTCCCTGAGCTGCTGTTTGGATGTAAACTGCCTCTCACCCTCATAGATCTTTTGCTTGAGGATGCTCCAAAGATTCTCAATAGGATTGAGGTCAGGGGAGGATGGAGGCCACACCATGACTTTCTCTCCTTTTATCCCCATAGGAACCATTGATGCAGAGGTATTCTTTGCAGCATGAGATGGTGCATTGTCATGCATGAAGATAATTTTATTACGGAAAGCATAGTTCTTCCTTCTGTACCAGAGAAGAAAGTGGTCAGTCAGAAATTCTACATACTTTGCAGAGGTCATCTTTACACCTTCGGGGACCCTAGAGGGGCCAACCAGCTCTCTTCCCATGATTCCGGCCCAAAAAATCACTCCACCACCTCCTTGCTGACGTCGCAGCCTTGTTGGAACAGGGTAGCCATCCACCAGCCATCCACTACTCCATCCATCTGGACCATGCAGGGTTGCACGGCACTCATCAGTGAACAGGACTGTTTGAAAATTAGTCTTCATGTATTTTTATGCCCAATGCAGTTATTTCTGCTTGTGAGCTTTGGTTAGTGGTGGCTGAATAGAAGGTTTATGCACAGTTGCAAGACTCTGGAGGACGCTACACCTTGATGTCCGTGGAACTCCAGAGGCACCAGCAGCTTCAAATATCTGTTTGCTGCTAGGTAATGTGGCAGTTCTTGGATGACTAACAAGTGATTCAAGATGTATAGTTTTGGATAGCTGAACCAAACGCCCTAAGCGAAGGAAAAAAAGAGACGTATCTTATTTCGTTATCCTCTATTCCATTTATTTGAAATATGTAACACATTTTAAAAAACAAACAAAAACAAACCACTAGTTTTGCTTAAATTTGGTTGCGCTCTTCAAAATAGACACATTTTGATGAGCGCTGAACTTTCACAAACCTCCACAAAATTGGCCAGCTCTGCACTAATCCTGGTTTTGTTTTGTAGAATATAGAATGTCTTGAAATAAATGTATCAATTGACAGATTTTCCCTGTCACATAATTTCTATATCCACCTGCCCATTTTAATTTTAAAATACAAATATATGTTTATGTAAGATATTAGAGACTTATTCAATGTGATTTGGAACATAAAGAAATGCAATATGTAATGTATAACATGTAGTAATTGCCCATGGGTATCAATACACAGATCAACCCACTAAACCATGAATTGTCTTGAATTCAGCACTGTATAGGAAATGAAAGGCCAAAATAGCAGAGCTGAAATCATGGCTGATTTTGCTTTACAAATCTTTTAAATCATAGGGTGCAGCAAAATTTCTCTTGAGTCCAGCAAAATCAGAAAACTAAATCACATAGCTGCTGTAGCTATTATCCATTTATTATTTGTTTGTTTTTATTTAGGATTTGTTTTTTGCTTATGGTCATATGTAATATATGAAGCTGTATCTCTAAAGAACCATAGACTAAAATAATCACATACAATATACTATATGGAAAACCTTTTTTTGGACTACATTTATTATTATTATTATTATTAATGATTATTTTGGTACCCATAAAGTTCAGATTTTTTTTTAAAGATGATTTGTGTGCAGCTATATGATTAGTTAGTTTTGTGATTTTTTTTTTAAATTTTTTTTTAAATTTTTGCAATCCTGCAATCAGGTTCACTCACCCTTACCCTTTGTAGGGCCTGCATGAGAAAAAATTTTTGAGACCCTCTCTCCACCATCTTCACACAAACTTATTAATAAATAGCCACACCTATATAACGATCCACTTATAAACAATTAGACATATATACAGAATTGTGCAATTATATAAATATGAGCTAAATGCAGATGTGCCATATACTTCAACCTAAATAAAATTATGTTCTTACACATAGATACATGCAAACCGACACACACCAGACTAGCCAACATCCACATGCTACTGCACCAAGTATATTATCCATTATCGGATTGGCAAAATCTAAGCTGATGCACATAATTTGTGACAAGGGCCGAGTTAGAGATATTTCTTACAAATCTGATATTTTTCCCTAAATTTTAATTTGGTATAATTTGGGGTATTTTTGTATTTATTTTAGTGTACAACCATTTTAGCACATCACTGACATGTTTAGCATAGCAGGTTTTTGTTTGTGCCTTGATTGAGGGAACTTCGATCTGCCTTTTACAGGCATAGCATTTGCAGATAAAAATATTAGATAACATTGCATGGTTTCATTTCCTGAATGGCATTTAATTGTGTGGCTTTTGTAGTTTTCTGTTTGGAGCTTTTCCTCTGACCATTTTTCTTGTATTTTGTTGTTGTTTTTTAAATTACAAAGCCTTGTACCTACCCCAGACAATATACATTTAAGCTCTTAGCACAATGCTTGCACATACCATAAGGAACAGTAGATGTCAGTATAGCTTTAATGTACCTCGTGACGGGTTATGACTTCTCCAGATATGCAAAGCAGAATGTTTGCTCTTGAAGGGTGAGTGGAAGCCACCATTGTATTTCTGAAAACACTCACAGCAAGAACAAAAACATTATATTCAGTTTATGATTGCAACATATTCATTTTTAAACCCTCATAAGAAACACTTAACAATGTTACCACATGTCTATTCTGTATTCTCAGTACCAAATAACCTTGAGGCAATAAAAAAAACACACTTTAATTAAAACAGTTCTCTTTGTCATCACTGTTATATAGCCCCACGGTGAGTCATGAACACTCTGTTGCTGGCTGGGAGTATACATGGTCACCTTTTACTGTAGGTGTTGAGTTATTACATATAATACAGTACCAGCAAATGAATATAGATAAATTATGTATTCCATATAAACACAAGTATAACTGGGTTGATGCCATCTTTTTTATTGAAAAATGTTCTATACAGCCACAGGGCCCAGTTAATGTACAATGCAGGTATATCTTACACACCGGCTTATTCGTGAATAACTATAGTGGGTTGTGAAGGTGTAGTTTCTGATATAGATGCATCAAAAAACGTGAAGATGCCTAGAGTTCTAATGAAGCATGATGCATGTTTATGTAAACATATATATATCAGTAACAAATTAATTGGCATATTAACTTGACAGCATGCATGCTCTAGTTCAGACTAGAATGAGTGTAGCTACTAGGTTAAGAGAACCTATAGAAATATATATATATATGGCTGCAGCAAAGCATTCTGTGATTATTTAACCCTTATTCAAATTGACCCACTCCCCATGGGAAGATGTATTGTGAATTTTAATTATAATTAAAATGAAAACCCAAATTATGCTATCTTTCCAAACAGTAATTGTTCTTTTTTTAATTTAAATAATTTTTATTTGAAGAAGACATTTTATAATTACATTTTTACAGTTTCAAACAATAAAGGAAGTGTACTACATATCATGTCATATACCACTCATTAAGTATAGTGTACTATTAATCTCAGTGTAATAGGTAATTAGTATAACTTCATGTAGGGTGTGTGTAGGGAGCTGAGGAGTAGGTATGTATGTATATGGGAACTGTGAGAGAGGAGTGTGTATAGGATATGAAAGATTTATGGATATGGACTGTAGATGCATGTGGATATGGAGTATATGGACGGTGGAGTAGAAATGTATATGTGATATGGAGAAGCTATGCATATGGACTGTGGAAAAGAATTAAACAGTGAGACTTCAGAGGCATGATCTATACACCAAAACTGCATTATGTAGCTAAAATTGTTTAGTAATAAAGGTTTCCCTTTAAAGAGACACTGTCATGACTGTCATGAGAAATAAAGAATAGAAGAACAGATTCTGAGAGAGGAAGAGAAGAGGAAGCATTTGGGAAAAGTTAAGTTCGTTGTGACGGTACCACTTTAAGTGTTTGTGTAATGATTCTGAATATGTGTGTCTTTATATAAAGGACATACTTGAAAATGAGAGAAAACTCAATGTATTCTTCCTGGTAAAATATTTTATAAATATATGCTTTTGAATATATGACTGTGCATCTGACTCAAGGGTCAAGCAGTGTATTTTTCAGGTGTCAATGAGTGGAGTTTGGTAGGGGTAGGGATGAGGCTTCAGTAAGGACACAGAAAAATAGTTTTAGGATCAAGCCTCAGGTATTGTTCAAGCCTAGCAATGCCCTTCTGCATGCAGCTGCTTGTATCCATTTCTGTGGATATTGGAGCATCAAAACAATGTAATCAAAATGATGTGATTGTGGTGAATATATCCTGCAGAAGGAACTATTTGTTGCGCGAAGGCCGTGTAAATCACAGCCAGTGAAGGTGTGGCTAGGGCTGCAAGTGATTTAACTCATAAATGTTAAATAATTGAGCAGTGAGACTGCAGGTGGATAATCTAAAACTGCTTCATTAAACTAAAGTTGTTTTGGTTCTTAGAGTATCCTTTTAGTATAAATTTGTAGACAGTAATAGTGAAAAATATGCTGTAATCACAAAGAAAAATAATGTTATATTGCTAATGTTGACTTTTTCTATTATTTCCCAATGTTATACTTAGACATTAAAACCTCGTTATAATTTTCTATTCAGAGGAATCCTCTTAATAGAATGGCAGTGTTCTTTCCTTTTTGTAGCAAAGTTTAGTTTCATAGATGACATTTTAGATAATTTGTTCCTAATATCCCCTGAGCCTGCAATATCACAGATTGTCCCAGTACATACAAATGATATTTGAAAAATGTGTACAAAAATGGACGTGCCACTTATAGGCCTCAGCAAATGGCATTCAGAGCAAATGGTGGGAAACAAACAAGGAACTCTGGATGACGAAGAGAGAACAGGGGACCTAAAATAAAAACAGAGCCATCAATATGCGGCTGTTTTTCATCTTAACTTTTTAGCGATTACTGTGCCACTAAATGAAGACTGTTGAAGAGTGAGACAGCAGTATTTGGCTACCCATATACATAACATACCCCTAGCAATGACCCCACAATAATAACAATAGATAACAATCTAAATAACATGTTCATACAGAAACTGGCCGCCCAATATGACCACATTTCCACCAGGCCAAATTGTAGGGGTGTATCGAGACACTGCTACCCACCATATCCATTGTAGGGGTGTACCAAGACACCGCTACCCACCATATCCATTTTAGGGGTGTACCAAGACACTGCTACCCACCAGTTCCAGTGTAGGGTGTACCAAGACACCACCACACCCCCAGGTTCGGAGCCACCGACGGGCTCAAACCTACCAACCACGTGCAACACTGCCCAATCCACACTAAACCTCAGGATGCCCCACTTTCTCCTCCATCTACCCTCCGATTTAACCAGGCCATTCCCCGCCGCTGTGAAAAAACGGGAAATCAACTAACCTAACCAAATACAGAGAGGGTGGGAGGGACAACTGACAGGTAAGCTTAGGGTCAGTTAAAATGGCCGCTTCATATAATGGCTGGTATAAATACTCCCCTTATGGCTCCGCCCTACCTAGCATGCTAGCTGTCACTAACTTCATGTGGCTGCTGTGCCTACCTCCTGGCTCTGTCAAGGCCTATTCCTCTTAGCTGCGCTGATCCATGGGCTACAAAATAGTGGTTTTGTAAATCAAAAACACCACTACAAAAAAGTTAAACAAAGAGGGAAAAAAAGGCAGGCATATGGTGAGAGCAGGCACACAGAGAGATAAACACAACAAAAGGAAGAGAGAGGCACACAGAGAAGAGAGAGAAATGCATTATGGGGAATAGGCAGTTTCAGATAGGCTGCCAGATTTGAAAAATGAAAAGCCAGGTGTACGTTGGCCTTCCGATGGTGTGAGGAGAACTTGCCCCGTATGGGTCTTGGCCTATGAAGATGGTGGTTCGCTGTAGGGTCGGGTCTTTCTGAGGCTTGATTATCCGCTTCTCCACCAGCAGTGCCATTGCAGGATTTCTCCCAGTGGGCCACGTCCCATGAACATTGCGTGGTGGGTCAGGCTAGCCATCAGGAGCGGCATCAGGTCTTTCTGTGCGTTGCTGAATTTGGAGGCAGAATTGTACCCGGATCTTATCAGAGGCCTTTGTGAGTCGTTCCTCCTGGGAGGCTGGGAGTTTCCTATCAGCGGCCATCTTAGTGCGTTGTGTGCAGGGAGGTATCTCCGAGAGACTCCCCACAGGTAGAAAAGGTGAGTGTGTCAGCCCTCCAGTGGGGACCGGGATGAACTCCGCCGGTCCAAAGGGTTGAGGTATAGGAGTACGATGGATCCACATTGTTAACCTGTGAATGAGGAAAGCTCATGAGGAATGAGGACATTTTTGGATGCTCCCAGGCAGGCGTGATCATATTAATAACCCCACCCCTTTGCAAATGTCAAGTCAAGACATACATGTTTCTATGACTCCATCCATTCATCCTCCATCTATAAGCCCCACTCCTTTTTGTAATCAGGCACTTACTCAATGACAGACACTCTCAATGACACATACTCTCAATAACAGACACACTCTCAATGACAGACACACCCCCACTGATTTGACACACCCTGACAGACACACACTCACTGCCATTGAGAATGTGTGTCAGTGTGTCAAATCAGTGAGAATGTGTGTCTCTCAGTGACAGTGCATGGTTGTCAGTGTGCGTGTGTTTCAAATCCATGAGAGTTTGTATCTGTCATTGAGAGTGTGTGTCAGTGTGTGTGTGTCAGACAAACTCTCACTGATTTGAAACATTCACTGACAGACACACTCTCATTGATCGTCACACACATGCTGTCACTGACAGACACACAAACTCACCGATTTGACACTCAATGACAGAAGCAATCTCACAGTTTTGAAACACTCACTGACAGACACACACTGATAGACACACTCAAAAATAGATGAACCACATATACAATTTGTAATGGATTGCCTGGCACCCCGACTGGGTACCTCCGTTTGACGGATGCTCCTAGTGCTTCCCGAGGGCTTCAAGCGCTCCACTAGACACAATAATCACCGCAGATCCCACAAACTGCCGCAGCTTGGTTGGGTCTCACCGTCTTCCACCTACTCTGGACCCAAGACCAGGATCCAGCTTCCAGTAGGTAGACCTCTCTTAGAATCCAGAGAGCAGGAACAGGAACAAGCTCTTACAAGAGCTTACTCTGGGGAGTATAGTGATTATAGCAATCCCCAGAGTGTAGGTAGTTCTCCAATCCCCCAAACATGAGCCAAGACTTCATGAAGGGTAGAAAAGGTCTGTTTAATGTAAGCCAGCATTCACAATTTATACAATTCCTCAGGCCAGAGGCACACCCCCTGGACCTGATGGAACACAGGCACACAAAGGACACAAACCAATCAAAACAATACAATAATGTCTGACATACAGCACACAAGCCCTCCCCTCTGCCTGGGATATAATTAAAGCAGCTAATACAATAACCTAATTATCCACAGGCAGAAAAACACACATTTTCCCCAAAGTCTAGAAAACACCCCAAATCATAACAAATCCCCATAAATTATACATCCCTGGATAGCCCTGATCAGAGCAGGGGTTCAAAAGTTTTGTGGAAGTCTCTTTTGACTGACCACACACATGATTTCATGCCCAAAAGAGTTCCAGAGAATGTGGCTGTGCGGCTGGTCTATTTCCAATGTTAAATTCAATTCAAATAGACAAACAGCAACCGTTTGTGCAAATGTCAATGTTAAAGTGTCGTTCGAATTGACGTTCAACTCCAGTCAAAGAGTTGAAGTTCAGAGAAGGTAAAGTTTCAGCAGTGTTCGTGCCTTTGCGTGTCCTATTTGAGTTCCATGACAAAACACAGCTGTACTCGTTCGACTGAATTAAAATGGCTGTATCCGAAGTGCCACTTCAAAGGTGTAAAACTGCTCCAATAAAATTAAAAGGGGCAGAAACAGTATTTTAAAATCCAAAATGCCCAAACAGAGCTTTTAAAGGGCCATACATCCCAGGGGCCATAGTCACAGGGCAAGAGGCTGGCAAGAAGGCCTCTCCAAATTCCAGTGATGAAGGTACTTTAGTCAAACAATTAATTTGTGAGTGTGTCTGTCAGTCAGTGTTGCAAAGCTGTGAGATTGCTTCTGTCATTGAGAATGTGTCAAATCGGTGAGTACATGTGCTGTAGATGACTGCATGTGTGTGACGATCAATGAGAGTGGGTCTTTCAGTGAATGTTTCAAATCAGTGAAAGTTTGTCTGACACACACACTGACACACACTCTCAATGACAGACACAAACTCTCATGGATTTGAAACACATACACACTCTGACAGAAACACACTCACTGACAGCCACGCACTCTTATTGAGAGACACACATTCTCACTGATTTGACACACATTCTCACTGATTTGACACACACCCACTGATTTGACACACCCTGACATTGAGAATGTGTGTCAGTGTGTCAAATCAGTGAGTGTGTGTGTGTCAAATCAGTGAGAATGCGTGGCTGTCAGTGAGAGTGCATGGCTGTCAGTGAGAGTGCGTGGCTGTCAGTGAGAGTGCGTGGCTGTCAGTGATTGTGTTTCAAATCTATGAGAGTTTGTGTCTGTCATTGAGAGTGTGTGTCAGACAAACTCTTACTGTTTTGAAACATTCACTGACACACTCTCATTGATCCTCACACACATGCTGTCACTGACAGACACACGTACTCACCGATTTGACACACTCTCAATGACAGAAGCAATCTGACAGCATTGAAACACTCACTGAAAGACAGACGCTGACAGACACACTCACAAATTAATTGCATTTGTTGTTCATCTATTTTTGAGGCCCACCCAGACTCCCTACCACTGGGAGATCTGGTGTGGGTCCTCTTCTTGGGGCCCAGTGGCTCCTGTGCTGTTCCAGCTCCTTATTGCTTCCTATTTAGCGATGCGGACTGGAATGATACATGAGCATCATTTTCCGGCATCACCAGAGCAGGTGTGTGAGAGACCAGGAAGGAGTAGGAAGACCATCAGTGCTCTTTTCAAGCAGAGAATTTCAACAGAGTCTGCCTTGGTTTGTAAGTGGCCGCATCGGGGGCACCCTAAGGTGGCCAGCTGGCCACTTCCTGTGCCCCCTCACAGGCCACTGGCCCAATTCTAGTGGCGTCCCACTACCCTCTGGTGCATCCATTCATCCCCATAATTGGCCCTGGTCAAAGAGATAAATTATAGCTAATACCCTGCATTTTAACTTTACAAAGGCATGTAATGTCCTATTTCCCTCTTTCATTCCTTAAACAGGGCAATGGGATTTGGGAGAGTTCTGTGCTTATAGACCCAATTTTATTTTAGGTACATCACACTACAGGTTTTTTTTCTGTTTCTATTTTAGTCTGTTCATAGTGCTACTTTCTTTAAATTGTATATTTGGCATTGTCTAATAAAGCTTGGCTTGTACATTGTAACACTATTTCTGAGAATAATTTTCTACCTCATGTCCTACTAGACACATTACTTTTGGTATCCCTTGGGAGTGTTACTGTCTATGAATATTCCTTTATCAGTTAGGATAATCTCCCTTCGATTGGAGATCCTCTAATATCTTTGTGTTTTTGTCTAATAATTGGGTTCATGCCCGCGGTAGCCTGGTACTATCCACGGTGATGCCTTCTCAATGAGAGGGGATCTTTCTTTTGTTAAGGATCCATTCTCAGTGGGGTGCTTTATTTAGTTTTAAATGGGGGACCTAGTGTCCTCCCCCCCAGTGTTCAGCCATTAGCAGTGGGGGGCTCCAGGCAATAGTGGCATGTGGGGACCCCAAGTGATAAGGAGACCTATTGTCCCTCTCTCAGCTACCCTACTTTAACAGTGGGTGGGGACACAAAGTGATAACGGGAGGACCTAGTCCCCACACAGCCTCCACCCATTAGCGGTGGGTGGGAGCCTCAAGTGAAAATCGGGGAACCTAGTGTGCTAGGTGCTTGGAGACCACTAGTCACTGGGGTGGGGGGGAGGGTGTCAATAGGTGGGGTCAATAGGTCAAAATGTGTTTCAAAGTTAAGGCAAAAATAGCCAAACTGGAAAAAAATATTTAAATCAGCTTTCCTTCAAGTTTGGCTAC